AGTGTGTGTGCGCGCATGTCTTGTGATTGTGAGGGGCCAGACGATACAAAACATAGTGATGGGGCTAAAAACAGGCTTAATTTTCTTTAAACCTCCTGCTTTAATTTTTTGTGAACAAACATTCCTTGTGTTCATGTATGACATTAAACTCTGTGTGTGTGTGTGTGTGTGTGTGTGTGTTTCCACAGGCAGCGAATCCCGGCTGTTGTCTGGAGGATTTCGTGCGCTGGTATTCTCCGAGAGATTACGTGGAGGAGGAAGGGGAGGATGAAGCGGGACAGACGGTCATACGGGGCGACCTGAGCGCCCGCATGAAGATCCCGGGGAACATGTGGGTGGAGGCCTGGGAGACGGCCAAAGCCACGCCGGCCCGCCGACAGAAGAGGCTGTTCGACGACACCAAAGAGGCTGAGAAGGTCAGAACCCTGAGTGTGGATTCGGACGGCCTCGGTCCAGAAACGTGATCCGCTTTTGATTAATATGACCCATTCATTTCAAGCCACACAAACACGATCATTCATTAGAGATGCACCGAGTGTTCAGCAACCGAAATAAGCGAAAAGACTGAGTAAAATGTACCGAAAAATGATGATGTGGTGTGGAAGCATTTAAAACTGTCCGAGAAAAACGCAAAAATCACAGACAGCTAGACTGATTAGCACTGCACCGCATGTCTCCGATGAGAAGAGGATGAATGAAATCGAGAAATAGCCTTGAGCATTTAAATACACTGCAGAGTGTTATGTTTCTAATACAGTATTCTGACAGCAATGACGAGCTCGTTAGCCAGGGTTCAGAGTCCAAAGCGTGAGGAAAACCTGCTCTGAAACCGTGTTACTCGTCAGATGCGCGGTCACATTTGTATTAATTTTCACAAGGCATGTGATGCGTGCGACAAACATCTTCCTGAATTCGTAATGAGACTCATTTATAAATCTGCTGCTGTCAACAAAAAGAAGCGCTGAGGTCTTCCTGCGGGTTTCAACAAAATAACAACTCCCATCAACATTCATAATGTTAGTTTTGTAATTTTACTGTTGATCTGTAAAATAAAACAATAAGTAAGATTATGATAATTATAATTACAACAGCTCTTATTATAACATTCACACACAGTGTTCAAATTGGGATCTGTAATATTTTCTAATGTTTTAAAAGAAGTCTCTTCTCAGCAAGCCTGCGTTTCAAAAATAGCCTAAAAATATTATTTTACCAACTTATTTTAAGTTACGCAAGCCTGCGTTTATCTGTACAGTAAAAATACACGCCTGATTCAAGAAGACGGTCTCAAAAATAGCCTAAAAATATTATTTTACCAACTTATTTTAAGTTAAATTGTGCTTTGTTGGTATAATGTCTGCTAGAATGTTAAAAAAAAATGTTCAGTGTTATGTAGATATTTTTAAATTGTTGTTTTGTAATTGATTTTTTTCTTTGAAAAGTAAGACAAAACTGAAAAAAGCACATTCTGGCTATTTAATTTATGCAGTGGTGGAAATAACGTGAAAAACTGTGTTCGGTATTCGGCCCAGTGTTTCATTTTGTTCGACTTCGGCCAGGAATATTAATTTCAGTGCATCCCTAATCATTCAGTCTTCATCTGCTCACACTCACGTGCTATACACCACACACGCATCCCATGATGCCCTCAGAGCAGCCAATCAGAGCGCAGGCCTGCTGGAAGTGGGTTAGAGCGTCTCTTCTGTCCTTCAGCCGTCTGTCGTGTCCTCGTGGGGAAGCTGCAGGATTCACTCAGGAGTTATTTGCTGATTTAATGTCCTCTGCTGTGTTTTGCTCCAGTAACGTGTCCTCGTGACAGGAGCGTACAGTAAAAACCTTCCAACAGCACGCTAACATTACACCTACAAATAATCAATACTCGCATCACTTAATATTACACTTACAGTTGTATTAGAAAATTCTACGTTTAAATCACTTGAAATCATATTTACAGTCAGAAGCGTTGTATTCAAATAATGCTTACAATTAATTAAACTGCTCTGAATTACATTTGAAAATTAAAAAAATAGTGCTTAAAATTACGTGTAAAGTCAGAAACACTACGATTAAATAGTTTAACTATTAAAATGCTTAAAACAAAATATTATGTTTAAATAATTTTTAAAATGCCTCAAATTGAAATGAAATCTGAAATCAGAAGTGTCATGTTAACATAATTGATTTAAATGCTCAATATGAAAAAAACAATAGCAAGCGTTAACATGCCTGATATTTTGTATCATATGCAGAGTTGGAAACGTTACTTTGTAAATGTAACGGGTTACAAGTTACTCTGTCTAAAATGTAACAAGTAGTGTAACTATTTCAGTTACTTTATTAAAGTATTAATTTGATTACTTTTCTAAATTTCTAATGTTTTCAACTGTTAATCGTTTTGAAAGATGTAAAGCAGGCAGAGTTATCCTTACAGTAGCGCTCAACACTGATTGCTGTCAGAACCCTTCATCAGTCGAGATTATAATAGTGTAATTTAAAGTGCAGCCGCTACACATTCACACATGCTTTGAGATCATTCTGAGGTTAAATACAGATTTAAAACCGAAACAATAAATAGTTTAATAGCTATGATTCTGTTGTTGAAATCAAAACACTGGCATCTAGCAGTGCCTTGGAAAAAGACAGTTAATACATCTTAAGAAATAAAGCATATACATAAACCCAAATAGGAAATAAAACGGTTATCAAATAAGCATGTGTGCTGTTCTGTGTCCTAAACTCCTGAAGCATTGCGGTCTCATATTTTAGAGCAGTCAGTGCAGTTTCTGAAAGAAGTCAATTAAAGCTGTGTTTGGGTGTGTGTGAAAATAAATCAGATGTTACCCCCTTTGTAACCGTTAGCGGTTTTTTAATTAACTAGTTTAGTTTAGTTACATGTAAGTATTTACTGGCCAACACTGTATATATTTGTCTTCTCTCATCAGAGATATAATATGATTAATTTCAGCAGAGTTGAGTGAGCAGCGAGTTTAAATCATGAAAGAGCGTCTGCAGTAACAAAATCAGGAAACTTTTGATGGCAGCAAGAGAACAGCTTTGTTACTTTCCTTGTTAAAAAATCTAGAATCAACCAATCATGTGACCCTGGGGCGGGACTATGTGTCTGATCAACATCTTCAGACCAATCAGAAAACACGAGTGTGTGTGTGTGTCTGTCTCTGTGTGAGTGTGTGTGTGAGTGTGTGTGTGTGTGTGTGTGTGTGAGTGTGTGTGTGAGAGTGTGAGTGTACACGTTTTTTGTGACAAATGAGGACATAAATTTGTATAATGACAAAGGTATGACAGGTGTTACAAGGAGAAGGTGACTTTTCAGGACATTACCCCATGTCCCCACTTTTCAAAACGCTTATAAATCACACAGAATGGAGTGTATTGAAAATCTGAAATAGCAGAAAGTCTCCTGTGAGGGGTAGGTTTAGGGGTAGGGTTGGTGTAGGGCAATAGAATATACGGTCTGTACAGTATAAAAACCATTACGCCTATGGAGAGTCCCCACTTTTCACAAAAACAAACCTGTGTGTGTCTGTGTGTGTCTGTGTCTGTTTGTTATTGTGTGAGTGTGTGTGTGTTATTGAGTGTGTGTGTGTTTGAGTGTGTGTATGTGTTATTGTGTGCGTGCGTGCGTGCGCGTGTGTGTGTGTGTGTGTCTGTGTGTGTCTGCCTGTGTCTGTTTGTTATTGAGTGTGTGAGTGTGTGTGTGTGTGTGTGTGTGTGCGTGTGCGCGTGTTTGTTATTGTGTGTGTGTCTGTGTGAGTATGTGTGTGTGTCTGTGTGTGTCTGTTTGTTATTGAGTGTGTGTGTGTGTGTGTTATTGAGTGTGTGTGTGTGTGTGTGTGTGTCTTTGTTATTGACTGTGTGTGTCTGTGTCTGTTTGTTATTGAGTGTGTGTGTGTGTGTGTGTGTGTGTGTGTGTGTTTGTTATTGTGTGTCTGTGTCTGTGTGTGTTTGTTATTGTGTGTGTGTGTGTGTGTTAGCTTTAGTTTGCACACAATGAAAAAACCTTTTAGGGACATTTGGGAACATAATCGACTGGAAAAATGACCTTGTTTTGTTTTTTTGTTCAATTTAAACTCTCCAGTCAGTTTCTGGTGTGGTGTGGGTTAGTCTGGGCATTACATTGGGTTATTTAAATGAGCTAATGATGTTTGATATGTGTGTGCAGGTGCTGCATTACCTGTCGCAGCAGAAAGCGTCGGATCTGACGCGGCACCTGATGCCCTGCGTGCTGCACGCGGCTCTGCTCAAGATCAAGGAGGAAGGTCAGTGTGACTCTCTGAACTGTAAATACAGTGTGACGTCACTGCCGCTGTAAACATGATCTCTCCTCCAGAGGTGACTGAAGACATCGCGTCGGTGCGTAAAGCTCTGCAGCAGGTCACCGCTCACACCAGCAAACTGCTGCGGCACCCCAACCCTGACTTCAAGAAGCTGGAGGTAGAGCTGCACGAGTCTGGATAAACTGAGAGTCACGGTTCTCCCACCATTCTGAACTAAACACAATAATGTGCCACAAAATATTAGGCCTAATTGCTGCAGTCTATTTAAAAATGATTAATTAATTTGAATGAATTATTAAACATTTTAATATATAATATATGTATTTAAAATACAAAATGTGTCCCTGCAGCACAAAAGCAGTGTTGAGTCGCTGGGGGATATTTGTAGCAATAGCCAACAATACATTGTATGGGTCACAATTATACATTTCTCTTTTATGCCAAAAATCATTAATATATTAAGTAAAGATCATGTTCCATGAAGATATTTAGTAAATGTCCTACCGTAAATATATCAAAACTTAATGTTTGATTAGTAATATGCATTGCTAAGAACTTCATTTGAACAACTTTAAAGGCGATTTATCTCTATTTTGATCGCTACCATAGACATCACATCAGTGTTTATATTTGAACTATAAACTTTCATCCCAGTATTTCTGTGATAGTATTATTTCTGTCTTACAGTCATTCATATTGTGTAGTTGTTTGTCTAAACATGCTAACTGTCTGCTCTCTGTCAGCAGCAGTGCGAACACAGATTTGAAAAATGTATTCTGTATTATTTTTTCAAAGGTTTAATAGACACGGGCAAATCGTTGTCATTTAAAAACTAGATTGCGTGGGTGTTTGAATCAAGATCACGATCTTTTAACGATTAATCATGCAGCTCTAGTGTCAGACGTGTGTGTGTGTGTGTGTGTGTGTGTGTGTGTGTGTTTCAGGACGTCATCGTTCAGATGAGCGCGGTGGAGGCCGTCATCGCCTGCGCCCGATCGCTCAAGGCCAAGTTTGGCATCACCGGAGGACAGCGGGAGGACGACACTGACGAGCTGGAGAGGTAAAGCTTGATCTGCTGATCAGCAAACAGTGCAAGCACTACACGTGACCAGTGCTGGCAAAATGAGTCACAATGAGCAAACTTTCAAAAATTAGTTATTTGTAGTTTCACATTCACACAGAAGGCACTCCGGCAATTTTCCGGGACCAACGTGCAGTGTGAAAGGGGCACAAGATGGTGCCGCTGATGGCTGCCTCCGTGGCGTGCTCCGCAGTTGTTTTTATGTTTTTATTAGTTTGTCCTGTCTTTAGTTATATCCCTGCAATTAGTTTCACCAGAGACGAATTGCTGGACATTTGGCAGTACACACCACCCAATATTTCACAGGTTTTCGACTGTTCTGACGTTTTGCTGAACGTTGTATTTGGCGGAGCTGCAGCGCTGATCAAACACGTGAGCCTGGCTTTACAGAAACTCGCTGATCTGATCACAGAGACGGAGCGACAACACCCGGACTCTGTTTTAACCATTCTCTGAGACTTTAATAAAGCAAATCTCTCCCGTGAACTGCCAAAATACAGACAGCACATCACATGTCCCACCAGAGACAGTAATATATTGGATCACTGTTACACAGCAATAAAGAATGCATATCACTCTGTCACACGGGCAGCTTTGGGGCTCTCTGATCACTGTTTGGTTCATCTTATACCAACCTACAGGCAGAAACTGAAATCAGCTAAGCCCGTATTAAGGACTGTAAAAAGATAGACTAATGAAGCAGAGCAGGATTTACAAGCTTGTTTTGACCTCACTGATTGGAGTGTTTTTGAAGCTGCTGCCACCGATCTGGATGAGCTCACAGAGACTGTAACATCTTATATCAGGCTACGTCCACACGAAACCAGAGCTTTCCCTATCCAATCTTTTTTTCCCCCCCTCGTCTCAAGAAATATCTGCGTCCTCACGAAACCACAAAACTGACACAAAACGATGTAGTATACATGCTAGACCAGTATGTGGCGCTGTAATTCTGCCACAGAGATGCAATTAAAATGGAGAAGAAGACTTGGACTATGCGCATAAACCTTGCGTGCGGTATACAAACGAACATGGAACAATACATTTATTAATCTGTGTTAATGTTAGTTAATAAAAAGACAATCGTTCAGTGTTTGTTCATGTTTTTGTTGCTGTTACGTGACGTAGCGGTGTCTGACTAGGGGCGAGACGTGGGCTGATGATGTCATCGTTTCAGAAAATATACGGATTCACTGTCCACACGAAAATGCAAGGGTGGCATTTTTAGATTTATCCACTCTGGGACCCAGCTTCAAAAAATATCTGTTTCACTCTCCCAAAACTCCGGATCCGTCTAGACCAGGGGTGCCCAACCATGCTCCTGGTGATCGACTGTCCTGCAAAGTTCAGCTCCAACCCTAATCAAACACACCTGAAGCAACTAATTAAGGTCTTCGGGATCACTTAAATATTAAAGGCAGGTGTCTTTGATTAGAGTTGGAGCTAAACTTTGCAGGACAGTCGATCGCCAGGAGCAGGGTTGGGCACCCCTGGTCTAGACGAAACGCCTATACGATACAAAATGTATGCGTATACAGCTATAATGCGTCTCCGTGTGGACTGGGCTTCAGTTTCTGTGAAGGCATGTGCATTCCTACCAGGACTCATTTAACCTACAACAATGACAAACCATGGTTCACTGCAAAACTCAGACAGCTCCGTCAGGCCAAAGAAGATGCACGCAGGAAGCATAAACAGGCCAAATACACACTGGAAAAGGAGATCAGAGTGGCAAAAAGGAATTATTCTGAAAAGCTAAGGATTCAGTTCTCTTCCAGTGACTCGGCTTCAGTGTGGAAAGGTCTGAAAGACATCACCAACTACAAGACACCATCCCCCAGCACTGTGGAGCTTCAACAACTGGCAGACGATCTGAATGGGTTTTACTGCAGGTTTGAAAAAACACCCCACACCCGCTCAGAACGCTTCTCCACTGCAACCCCCCTCTCCTCCAATCACCATCATGGACAGCACTGTGACTGCAGTGGAGTCATTCAGGTTCCTGGGCACCACAATCTCTCAGGACCTGAAGTGGGACACTCACATTGACTCCATTGTGAAAAAGGCCCAGCAGAGGTTGTACTTCCTTCGCCAGCTGAGGAAGTTCAACCTGCCACAGGAGCTGCTGAAACAGTTCTACTCCGCCATTATTGAATCTGTCCTCTGCACTTCAATAACTGTCTGGTTCAGCTCAGCTACCAAATCTGACCTCAGAAGACTACAGAGGGTAGTCCGGACTGCTGAGCGAATCATTGGTACAACCCTCCCTGCTCTCCAAGAACTGTACTCGTCCAGAGTGAGCAAAAGGGCTGGCAGAATCACTCTGGACCCCTCACATCCAGCACACTCCCTCTTTGAACTGTTGCCATCTGGTCGACGCTACAGAGCTCTGAGCACCAGAACGACCAGACACAGGAACAGTTTCTTCCCTCAGGCCATCCATCTCATGAACACTTAACAATACTATTATACACTTATACACACAACACTATTTATACACTTATTTATCTAACACACATACTTCGTTTACATTATTAACTTGCACATAATATACCTGTACATACAAAACTGTCTATTGTAATACACCTGTACATACAATTGTCAATTTGTATATTTTTATTCCCTATTTACTTGTTCTAATTTTATTTTTTCTCTTTTATTATCTGTGTTTTTGTTCTGTCACTGTCATTCTGTTACACTGTGGAAGCTTCTGTCACGAAAACAAATTCCTCGTATGTGTAAACATACCTGGCAATAAAGCTCATTCTGATTCTGATTGATTGATGCGAGCCACATCCGGTAGCCAGTGCAAGGAGATAAAGAGAGGTGTAACATGGGCTCTTTTGGGCTCGTTGAAGACCAGTCGTGCCGCTGCATTCTGAATCATTTGTAGAGTTTTGATTGTGCTTGATGGAAGTCCAGCCAGAAGAGCATTGCAGTAGTCCAGCCTAGAGATGACAAGGGCCTGGACAAGAAGTTGTGCAGCATGCTCCGTTAGAAAGGGCCTGATCTTTCTGATGTTGTGCAATGCAAACCTGCAAGATCTAGCAGTCTTTGCAATGTGGTCTTTGAAAGTCAGGTGGTCATCAAAGATTGCACCAAGATTTCTGACCGAAGTTGATGGGGTAACTGTAGAAGAACCTAGCTGGATGGTGAAATCATGCTGTAGAGTTGGAGTGGCAGGGAAGACAAGAAGCTCAGTCTTTGCCAGGTTGAGCTGTAGGTGATATTCTTTCATCCATGCCGAGATGTCCGCCAGGCAGCCTGAGATCCGTGCAGCTACCGTTGGATCATCTGGTTGAAATGAGAGATAGAGCTGTGTGTCATCAGCATAGCAATGGTAGGAGAAGCCATGTGCCTGTATGATGGGACCCAATGATGTTGTGTATATGGAGAAGAGGAGGGGTCCAAGAACTGATCCCTGAGGAACCCCAGTGACAAGTTGATGTGCTTTGGATACCTCCCCTCCCCAGGAGATAGGACCAGTTATTTTCTTAATAATAATTACTGTATTAATAATCATAATATAGCTATTTTTTATTTGATCTTTGTTATAAATAAGAACAGATGCAAAAAATCAGTAGAACAAATAGGCTATAAGAAACATGTTGTTTCTGTTATGTTTTATCATTTCTCACTGGTCTCATTGTTACAGTGTAAAATAGCCACAGTTTGCTCTTATTTTTGAATGAATTTAGTGAATTTTCTAAGGTTAAAATTACAGTGCTGTTGGTGATCCGGTCAGTTCAGCTCAGTCATTGTTTAGGTTCTTCCAGCCTTATTCTTTGTTCTCTAAACGTTTAGCTGAAGTCTACAGCTGCCTTTGCTTCTTAATTCTTCAGCAGAATGTGTTTTACAGTAAGAGTTCATTCTGCTGCAGGAGAGACGTGGAGCTGTTTCCACAGAAACATAAAACAAATGTGTGTTCGTATCAGCTGGTGTCCGTATGAGTCTGAAAATATTGGATATCAGCACAAATCCGATATCGTGCATCACTGCTCGCTTTTGATAAAAGCTTCTTCCAAATGCATAAATGTGATTCTGTGACTTCTAATGTTAGTGAAGTTTTCTGTTCCAAAACCTGTCATAATTTAGTTTTTCAGCATCATGTCACAATCTCTGACCAAAAGCAGGAATTCAGCCTGAAATGTTTGGTCATTATTTTCTTACTCATGTTCCAGAATGAACTCTTTCATTGGGTAACATAAAAGAAGAGATTTTTTAACAGTAAAAGTCATGTGCTCCAGTGTTGTTTGTGTTCAGCATCAGACAGTGAGTTGTGAGGTTTGGAAGGCAGTAAATGTGTTGAACGGAGCTGAAGCTCTGTGTTTGATAATGAACACACGTGATCTGTGAGCGAGACACCGCTGCTGTCCTGAGCATGATGAACCTGCCTTTAAAGCGCGTTTGGAGCGGTGTGTGTGTGTGTGT